TTGAAAATCATCGTCACAGCACTTTGATAAATTTCTAACCATATTCCAAAACAACTATATATAACAACTCTATTAGCCTTTAATTACTCTTATCCCCTTGCCTTACAAGCTTACTAATCGAAAGTGTGTACACATACACAAATATATACTTTATAGCACTTCCCATGCCAAACACCTAACACTTAGGCGCCTATGCTAGAGTATAAATTATTATTTTTGTACTTCTAACTTGCTTCTAAAATTGGCTTGGCTTAATTAACTTCATACTGTAATTTCCAAATCCATACAATTCTTCACTTTAAGTCTAAAAGAGAAATTCCAGATTGGATGCCAATAGCTAAATCATTCCACTCAACATTCTATAGGTTCTTTTATCAATAAAATCCAATGATTTCTCAACACTTTGTAACAAAATATCCCTTGGTTCAAAGTTTCACATTTTAGAGTTCTAATCAATTTTCCTCTTAAAAATTCAAAAGTCCCCAAGCTTCAACCATTTCTATTCACCATTCGATCATATAACAAATTAACTTACATAATCATCACTTATCATTCAAAACCTTAAGAACAAACCATACATGGTTCTCCTCCTAGTAAATTTTGAGTATCAAGGTTCTAAAACCACACTCTTATTTATTTATTTATTTAGACAGCATTTCCACATCAACTCTAGGCTTTCAAAGTCAATTCTTCATATCGCCACTAAACAGCTGCGCATCATTATTCTTTATATTCCTAATCATTCCTTCCATTAAACTCCAACTCTCCCACTCACACTTGAATCCCAATAAATTTTTACCCTCAACTCAAAATCCTTATTTCAACATCTTGTTTCAATTGCTAACTTAAATCTGGAAATTTTCATGTTGGAGAACAATATTTAAAATAACTAGCTTAGAATCTTTAAACTTAAATTCCAGATTTACAGCTCACACACCACTACTTCCTTCTTTCTCATATATCTCTCGCTACTCACATTCCAGCTCCCACGGTCACACTCAAGCAATTATATAAATATATAAAACCCAAACTCAACTCCATTCAGCAGCAAAATCATCATCTTTCTTCATTCCATTTAAAACCCGATACATCCATGTATAAACATACATCTCCGCCACTTTAGTTTCTAAAATTTCAGTCCCATGACAGCAACATTAATCAACATATCAGAGACATCAAAATTGGAAGACCCGTAACCTCCCGTCACTAAATCAACCAGAAGATATATACTTATATGTACATATAACACAGGCCCATAAGCTAAACTTTATTCTGCTACAGATTGTGTATACATATAATATTATATTATATTCTTCCTAACTAACAGAACCTGAAGCTACAAGTATCGAAACTATATATATATATATATCAGTTCGGTCTCCACTCAAACAAGAAACGAAATCAGCATGCAGCGACATACATCAGTTGATTAAACATTCATCAAACATTTTTTTCCCCCCTTAACCAATGAGATCAACATGCAGCGACAAACCTCTGTTTTTCGGCAACCAAAACAGAGAAGGAAAACAGCACATGCAAACTCAAAAACCAGCACCATATACTTCAATATTGCCATATAACATGAACCCACCGATCCTTCTCTGCTTTCCTTAACTTTCTCTCACTAAACCCAACTTCTACCTTCATCAACACCTCAAACAGCCCCTGTTTAACGACAATAAAGATGCGAGAAGGATTAGAGAGCTCACCTGGAATGTTTGATCGGTTTGCATGCACTGGATACTATCTCCGGTCACTCCTCCAGCTCCACCAACTCAGTTTCTTCCGTGCTCTCCTTCTCTCACTCTCCGTCTCTACCTCTCTTTTCTTTTGGGCACCGAACGAAATGAGTTAGACGCGTGGGTAACCAGCTGTTACATGGAGGAGTGAATCAGGTGGCTATTAGAGAAGGTAGCACGTGTATTGCAAAGTTCCTGGACCAATCTTGACCTCACACATAATTATTTCTCCAATCCTATCATTTCTCCTATTTTTTCTAAAATATAAGATATATCTAGAAATTAAACCAAGATATCCTGAATGGATTTTTCTTATCCATCACAACTGGTTATCCTAAAATTCTCAGATTAAATATAAATCTCTAAGTATTTTTCCATAATTTCCAGAGAAAATAAACCATTCTTCTCTTAAAATTATCTATTAAAATTATTTAAGCCATTTTTGGGGAAATACCTTTTTCAAAATGTCTCTAAACCCTAAAAATCATTATTCCATAATTTTCCCCCTTTATTTGGCAAATAAATAATTTTAATAAATTTTTCTCTTTTCTACTCATCCTAAATCATAAAATTCGGGGTGTTACATTAACTCGCTCTTAAACTCATGCTAAATTTTTGGATTTGATTATGTTTAATGACTTTATATATGAATTTTATAGAAACTTTTTAATTGAATGTGATAAATTATGAACATTGATGGATATAATTTCAATTATTTAAACTTAAAATATATTTAAATGAAATTGTTCTCATTTTTTATATATTAATTATTTGATTATATACTTTTTAAGGGAAAATTGCAAATAAAGACCCTAATATATAAAATGACAATCAGGTACCCTAAATTCGAAAAATTGCTGTAGAGGACCCGGTCCCAATTTGCAATTACGAAATGTTGATTAAAAGACCAAAAATACCCACTAGCTTCACATATCCTCCTCTACTCCGTCCTCACAAACCCATATCCTTCTCTCCTCTCTCCTACTTCGTCCTTCTCTTTCAACTAAGGATTTCAACTAAGCATTTGAGGCAATACATCGAATAGATTTCATTTGTGTTTGTGCTGAGTTGTGGGTGGGTAGGATTTTTTTTTTTTTTTAGCTCTTTCAGCCAAGCAAGCGAAGCACCCGCCTGGGTTCCAACCTTTTTTTTTTTCATCTTTGAAGTTAGAAAGGGATGAACAAATAATCAATCAACCCAACGAGAAGCACAAAAGTTGAAATCCAAGCCTTTCGAGTATAAGCTAACAACTCTTAATATCCTTGTTGCAGGGTTTGAAGAGGATGCATTTTGAGAAACAGGTGAGTGAAGCCTAGCCTACCAAGAACACCCCCTCAGTCAGACGATTATATGTTATCAAATGATAATTATATGTTACTTTATCCATGAATGCAGTTATTAGATGTGAGGGGGGAGAAAGAAGCAAAACTAAAATCAAGGAAACCAAAACCAAGGGAAAAAAAACACCATCTTGGATGCCCAAGCTCCCCCGCTTTGCTTCTTTCCCCATGGTTGCTAAAAAAATATTGCTCATCATCGTTTTCATGGTCGCAGATCTAGGATGCCCCAACCTCATATCATTCTTCCCAACCTAGAGGCATCCATCGAAGGGGGGGGCCCAATCTTGTAATCAAAACCCCCATTCGAGCTTCTGTGATTGAGCAACACTGTGAAGGGGTCGGTCCAATTCTCCCAACCAAACCGCACATGTTCTTTCCCTTCTTTTTGTTCCATGTCAATATTTTGTGCAATGGGAGAAGGCCAGCGTCCCAGCTCTTCAACACATGCGTGAAATTGATAGTTCCACCCACCCCTTGAGTTCATCTTCGCTTTGCTTGTCACAGTGGAACTTAGAGCGCACAAGTAGTTGGATGCAGTGACAGAGCAATGGGGATCTATACTTTGTCATCAATCCAATTTTTACCAGAATTTCTCATCCATAAATCCCCATAACTCTAGCCCCCATTGAGCACCGCCCTTCCATTAATCTTCCCAGTTAAAAAATCTCTCTCCTTAGTTGATAAAATCGCTCCACCATGCTCCCTAAACTAAATCCCTACTAACTCACACCCCACGTAGAGCCTTGAGGTCACTGGAAGAGAGAAAGAAATGAGGTGATGGAAGAAAGAGAAGGAGGGGGGAAGAGAGAACTTCTGGATTAGACCGTAGTGGGAAAGAGAAGAAGATAAGGTGATGGAAGAAAGAGAAGAAGGGCAATTTAGTCTTTTTCCTTACATTTCATAATTCATATTTAAGACCCAGTCTCTCACAGCAATTTTGTGAATTGAAGTACCTAAATTGCAATTTTATATTTTTGAAGGTCTTTATTTGCAAATTTCTCTAGTTTTAATTCCAGTTTATTAATAAAAGTAAACTGTTCACAATTTGAGTTTAGGATCCGAGTTTATATCATTCTCACGAGTTCGTTTAAACTCGCGAGTTTGACAACCTTGGATCTACCTATCCCTAAAAAAAAAAAAACTAACTAGATCTACTTCAATCACAAACCCAAATTCATTTTTAAAACCTCTAGATATCAGCAAAATGGAGAATCCAGGCGAGGTGCTGCTAAGAAAACGCAAAGATGTAAACGACGACCTGAAATAAAAAGAGGGCAAGTAGGGTTACATTTTGGGCTTTGGCACAGTCATCTTTATCTCTCACCACGTGTCCCATTTAATTTGATTATAAAATTAAATAGCTAGGCGAAAAGAGATGATAAAAATCATCAAATTTTCGTTGCAGTGTGGTCAAACAAATGAGTTTATAAAACTAATTTAATATTAAATATTATTTAATCTCGATAAATACTTTTTTTTTTTTTGCCTCCTAGGTCTATGTGTTTCCAAAAAAAACTTAAGAAACATATATTAGTACTTTTTATTAATTTTCTTAATAAAAGCTTATACGAATAATTTATAATTGGATGTTATTTATATATTTAAAATGAATTTCATATGTATTTAATTTTATTTTTGTCTGATATATTATAACATTAATTTATTACCTAATATGTTGATAATTTGTCATATTATGGTATTTTTTGACACTTTAATAATATATTTCTTAGTTACATCTTTTTTAACCCAATAATTATACATTATTATATACGTATATGATTTTATTTTTATTCACTTATTATATTATCTATCTGACTGAAGGGTCCAACCGGATCTGACCATTTAAATCTTCATTCTCTAACTTATCCAACTCGAGGTCCGGTCTAACTTTTAAACATTGCCAGTTTCTTGTTTGGGCCGTCTATCGATGCTCTGTTTCTGACCTCTGTCGTTTTGGCCAATATAACACAGAGAGGGAGAGAGAGAGGTGCCATTCCACCTGCAATGTTATGACCGGCCAAGATATGATTTCCTGATATCTGAAACTCTGTGGGAGTTTCTCAAGAACTGGGGTGTCAACCCACTGCAACATGAAAAATTGAAGTTGGAATAAGAACGGTAGCATAAGTGTTAAATGCCTTAATACCAACCAATAAACTTAAGAAGCGCATCACATCAGGTTTTAGATAGATCACCCTTTATACTGCTGCCCAGTTCTCGCTGCAGATTCCAATTGAAGTAGTTGGTTTCACCTTGTCATCAACTATTATTTTTCAATGAAGAGATGCCAACCAGTCCTATTAAACCCAAAAGATTCCAATCCAAGACACGGACCTTTATGTTCCTGCCATTGCCGCATTCATCCATGTCAATGCCTTCTTTTTTCCTTTTTCATTCTTTCCTATCCTACCCTTATTCATTTAGTAGGGGCTGGCCAAGAAACAAAGAACATTCTAGAATTGTGGTGCCCACAGCCTCTAGATCAATAGAGGAGTTAATGAATGATTATTCCTCCTTTTACTCACTGAGCTTAGCTTATGATTTATTCTCTTAATCTTAAAACTTTTTCCATTATCATGTTTGGCTAATGGGTGTTGTAACGAGGGTCATGTTCCCCTGCATAATGCCTATTCATTGTTACTGTTCAAAAACTGACTCTCAACTTGTAAAAGAGAGAGCCTTTTTTTTAAAAAAATTTTTTGAAGGGGGACTATTTTATCCTCTTGGGTATAGATGCTGTTTGCCTCGTCATCAGTTCATTCAGAAACGGACCCTTTGATCCGTTCCCTTTTGCTCGAGGTATTACCATCTGATTCTGCCAAATGAGTCATCTTGTTCGGTGATAAAAGTTGCGATTGCAAAGGGACTGAATCTAACCTCTTTGGGCCTGAACGTGGGAATTGAGGACACTAGGGACCGAGGGAGGAGCAAAGAGAGAGGAGGAGGCCAAAGAAGAAAATCTTATGACCAAGTCACTTAAATCCAAACTTCGTCCTTTTGGGAATGAGCTAATAGTTGTGCTCTTGCATTGCATATTCTTCTTGCTTATGTTATTGTACTTTCGCCGTATTAACTTTCACTGTATTACATCTTATCCTTATTATAAGAACAAGATAATTAATTTAGGAATACTAAAAAAATTAGTTATGTTAGTTATTTGTCACAAATATGTGTTGATCTCCATAAACTATCCTGTTTAATCATGTCCATTAAATAATTAGAATTACTTCGTGACGAGAACCCTTTACAATCAATAGGAATATTTTGAGAAAGAATAGGAAACAAAGTAGATTAAGATATTATAATTAAGAGCAAATCCAACCCCTAACTAGCTTTTATATTGAGGATTTGAAGTATTAATTGTTAACAAATTCATCATTTTTATAGTGCCACCATTGGTAATGCTATTACGAGTTCATATAAAAGCCAAATCTATAAAAGTTTCTTAAACACACATTTAGAATAAAATTTGCAGAATTATGTATAATTATTCAAACTAGATATATTTTTCCTGCGTATTTTAATCGAAGCCTAAAATTAACTTCGTTGCTATGTATTTATACATAGTACTATAAATTTTATATTTTGCAATTGGTAATAATATGTTCGTCATTTTTTCTTTTCCTGTCTATCCATCTTCCTTCTCAGTTCCATCTTCCTAGCTAGTCTAGCTCTAAGTATGAATTAGCTCAACGTAAATCCAAGTATGCAATACCTGGGCAATCTTCATGCATGTGATCGGGGTTGATGCAAGTTATGTAAAGTAAAAATAAAGATTATATTGCAATGGCATATATGAATTTCTTGATCATTGGACTGTATTTGAATCGATCATAATTTAATTATATTTTAATCTATATTATCTATATTTTAAATAACGAAATACAAAAATAATAACAAGAATGCATAAAAATTTGATTTCAAAGAAAAATAATAATAAAATTAACTGAGAAAATAAAGTAAGTGAATATAACAATAATTACAATATTATTATATTGACTATTGAGAAGAATACCAAAGAACCAAGTACATAATTGCACGAAAGATGTGAGGGAAAATATTTACAAGATATTCACATAACCATGTATTTTATTTTTTTAAAAATATGACAATAGAGCATATGACTCTGTTTGTGATTGGAGAATTAAACATAATGTATATAAGTAACCTGACCTAATTGTACTCAAGTGAACACACTGAATGTGCTCAATCTAAATGCTTTAATACCTTCTTTAAAAACTTAAAAATTAGGATTCTTACTTATTGCATCCAAACATTTCTAAATGGGATTGTCAATAAAAATGAGTGATGGATAACAATACAAATAAATTACAAATAGGTTCAATATTTATCCAACTGACATCTTTGCATAAACATGTCCTTGATCTTGTTCAATGATGCCACAACATCTGACATATTGCAACGCTTTCGTGAAACATCGGCACAACAATTCAAGGCCAATTCAAAGATAGTGGATGTAGTTGTCAAAGTGTTAGCAATATATTGTTGATCATCTCCTTGTATTAAATTGGAATCTATGACTTGAGTTAATGAATGTGGCAACGATTCACTTACCCAACTCTTCAAGCTCAAACCATCCACAAACATATCTTCTGTTGGCCTTTTTCTTGTGAACACTTCTATTACTATTATTCCGAAACTATACACATCAACTTTTGTTGAAACAATTCCAAGAGATCCGTATTCTGCATATGATTTGATTCATCCAAGTGAAAAGTCAACTATCTCATAACACAACTTACAAAATAAGCATTTAATCAATTCAGTCTTTATTGCCCATTGAGCTATAAAGAATTACAAGGATGAAGATATTTCAAGTCAAAAAAGTTATGATAATTGCTTTTTCTAAGTCAAGAAATTATAGGGATTAAGTTGTTTCAAATTAAAGTTTAAATACAGAATCAATAATTAAGGAAAAATTCAAGGATCAAAATTTATTCTTTTTCTTAGACTAAAGAACTTGGACATCCGTATGCTAAATTAATTAAACAAGTATAGCCCTCTTTTTTTAATCTAAAAACCACCCTCATAAAATTAGAAGCAAATGCCCAAGAGTTTTTATCATACAAGAATTTGTGAGTACTCTTATTGAAGGAAAAAAAGTAGCAACGTTTAGGATAATTACCTGGTGCAACATAACCAATTGTGGGCATTGTCTCTGTGAGTGTCCTCGATTTTCCTTTATCTAAAAATTTTGCAAGTCCAAAGTCACTCAAATGAGCAACCATGTTATCATCCAACAAAATGTTACTTGGCTTCAGATCACAGTGGACTATTGGTGTTGTTAAGCCATGATGGAGATATTCCAAAGCAGATGCGATATTTATCATTATATTTAACCTTTGCAGAAAATCCAAACAATAGTTATGAGAATATAACCATTTTTCAAGACTCCCATTGGGAATGAACTCCATTATCAAACACTTGAAATCAACATTGGAACAACTACTAATGATCTTCACCAAATTGCGATGACGCACATTACGCACTGCGTCACATTCCACTTCAAAGCTCCTTGACAATGTTTCAGAATCAAAATTGAATATTTTGACAGCAACCATTATTCCACTTGAAAGCCTTCCTTTGAATACAGAACCAAAACTTCCACTTCCCAGTAAGTTGCTCTCATCAAATCTGTTGGTTGCATCCAAAATTTCAAAATAAGAAATCCTTATTGGCATTCCTAAAGTTGATAAATCTTGTTTCATGGTATGCCTGGAATTTATTCGTTTACGGTGAAACAGGATAAAGCCTAAAACAACCAAAATTGTTGACAAAACCACCGGTAGTATGCATCTCAGCAAAATCAATTTTGCCTTTGACCTGTTCCTTTTTTCTTTTCTGCATGGAGGAACTTGCATTTTTGGCTCACCACAAAGTGCTTTATTCATCATGAAAGATTCAGCTGACAAATCTTTGAAGACCCCACCACGAGGAATCTCGCCTTGTAGTTCATTAAAAGAGAGATTAACATATTTAAGGGATGTAAGTGACTCTAGTGATTTAGGAATTTCACCAGACAAATTATTTTCGGAAAGGTCTAGCTTTTCTAAGCTTAGCAAATTCCCAACTGATTCCGGAATCTTTCCTTGCAATCTGTTATGTGTTAAGGAGAAAATTTGCAAATTTTGCAAGCTACTAATTGTTGTTGGAATGGTGCCTGAAAGATGATTTCTTGACAAATCTAATAGGGTGAGAGATTTTATGTTCCCAATCTTGAATGAAAGATTTCCAACCAACATGTTGGAAGATAGGTTTACTTGCAATATACCTGTCAAATTCCAAAAGGAAGAAGGTACCTCAGCAATCAATTTATTGGAGTCCAAATAAAGCTCCTGCAGGGACATAAGATTTCCTAAGCAACACGGCATTGCTCCAGAAAATTTGTTTCGAGACAGATATAGATATGCAAGTCTTCTAATGTCACAAAGCTCATCAACAATCTTACCATCTAGCTCATTGTCCATAAGAGTCAAACGCTGAAGAGCCTGTAAGTTGCTAATTGTTGCTGGAATTGATCCACTTAAAACATTTTCAGCCAAAGATAAGTGATACAAGTTAGACAAATTCCCAATTTCTGATGGTATGTTACCGTTAATCTCGCAGGAGTCTATCATCAGCATTTGTAGAGAATCAGACAAGTTTCCAATGGACTTGGGAAGTTTCATATTCAAAGGATTAATAGAGAGAATCAGAGTCGTCAAATGTCTACAGTTTGACAACGAGCTAAAAAAGCCAGTTTCAGAATTTGAATAATCTCTTATGGTGAAATTGTTATCATCCACCGAAAGGGATTCTAAGTATCTTAAATGTCCAAGTGTGCTTGGTAAAACCCCATCAAAATTATTTTGCTCCAATTCTAGAATGGTTAACTTAGAAGCATTGGATACAGTATTTGGGATTCTTCCGGAGAGTTTGTTGTCCCACAAATACAACTCTTGTAGATTAGAAAGGCCATATCCAAAATCTGATGGAAGACTTCCTGATAGAGAGTTGTTGAGGAGGGACAAGACTTTCAAATTTGAGATGTTGAAAATTTCTGATGGAATAGATTCGCTCAATTTGTTATGAGACAACAATAATGTCTTAAGTTGTTGAAGATTACCTATTTCCATAGGTATTGAGCCTGGATCGAATACAAATATTAATCCACGTACCACTGAAATTAATATTTGAAGGTAATACAAAAATGTAAATAAAATTATAGTGTCCAACTATTTATATGTACCTATAACACTCAATGTATACTATTTAGTGCTTGGTCACTAATGTTATCCACCTAGAGTTTGCTTTTAGATAATGTAATTTTCTTGTGGGTAGGATCAGGTACAAACAATAGGTTGGATATATCATGTTTATAGATGCTTTACCTTTTATTGTAAAATTGTAGTAAAATTTTGCAAGGATATGGGGTAGGTTGAGATAATAGTTTCTTAAGTAAGGATGCGATCATAGAGTTTTACAATAGGTTGGATATATCATGTTTATAGATGCTTTACCTTTTATTGTAAAATTGTAGTAAAATTTTGCAAGGATATGGGGTAGGTTGAGATAATAGTTTCTTAAGTAAGGATGCGATCATAGAGTTTTACAATAGGTTGGATATATCATGTTTATAGATGCTTTACCTTTTATTGTAAAATTGTAGTAAAATTTTGCAAGGATATGGGGTAGGTTGAGATAATAGTTTCTTAAGTAACGATGCGATCATAGAGTTTTAGGTAACAAAATGAATCATGAGGTGCCTAATATATAGTCAGGATGTACCGAGGCGAACATAACGCAAGAGGCGATGCTTGTTGCCTTTTTCCTCAATATCAGAAGTACAAATTCAATACATTATGAGGATCGGCGTGGGTGCCATGTAAGTTATAAGCTCTTGATGAATAGTGAGGGATCTCATATGCTACAGTGAAAGCTTGTAATAGTATATATGGCACACGACATAGAGGGTACGCCTTCTTTTAACAAGGAAAAACTATTTTGCAGGTAGCTATAGTTTCCTTCAATATTCAATTTGGTACCTGTGTATTTCTTCTTCTTAATCAAACACTCCAATTTTACTCTGTTAGCGACGTTAGCTTCTGTAACTTTGCTTTATTAGTACTGTTAGCCCCAATGCAAAAGCTATTCATTTCTACAATTGCTATACAGTACGGCAGTATATAGCTGTATTCCCTCCCTGTGTGCTCATTATTGCTCAATATTTTTTTTATTGGCCATAATTAGTGATTGATTATTTAGTGCTCATTGTTTGTATGGGATTAATTGGAAGCTATTTCATGGATAGGTGATAGGTTTCAGCGCCCATGGTGTATTCTAGAAAGAAGCGTTGAAGCTAAGGATAGTTTGGGATGTTACTTATCACTAACGTTGTTAGTTATTCCCTATTTAATTTATGTTAGTATTGTCAGTTACTTTGTGTTATCCGGTTACTTGGGTAGACTGTTAAAAACTCCTTTGTTAGAAGAGTTGGATGTCTTTATTCAGTAACTTCTCTTTCCTTCTACTCGAGCTACAGATCCTGGTTCTAGGATAATTCTCTCTTCTCACTTCGCCTCTATTCTCTTCTCTTTTGTCTGCTATCTCCTTCAATTTCTTCTTTTTTATCTGTATCTATCATTTTAGGTATCAAAGCCCTGTCTCTGGAATCTGTGGGGTCACTATGGCCTACACACGCAACTCTATACTCAACTCTGCCCCTCTTCTCCCCATTCTAGAACCTACCCAAACTTCTGCCACTCCATCCGAATCCAACAAACCATCCTACCATTGAATTACTTTCTCACAATTGTCTGCGATCATCGCCAAACTAAACTCATTGGATGCAGAAATGTCTACTTTAAAACATCGAAAGATAATTTTTGAACCCAGAGGCAGCAAAAGTATTAACGGTAGACAAGTTGATGAAGAGTTGGATGAAGAAGATCAAGACAATCCTTGGTGGAACAAGCTCGTCATTCCCACTCTAAGGTTGAATTTCCTAAATTTGAGATAGAGAGACCAAAGGGGATGCATATTCAAGGCTAAGAAGTCCCAACAAGAAAAGCTTTTAACGTCGGTTTTAAAAGAGGAAGTCTAAAATTTTGTCTAGAATTGCATTTCTTGTCAAAAAAAAAAAAAACAAATATCTCACGCAACCCCCAACTGGGCTTTTGCAACCATTAGGGATTCTTAAAAATATATGGGAGGAAATTTCTTTTGACCTCATTACTGGGCTAGCTAACTCTAATTGATGGTAAGCAATTTTGGTGGGGGTTGATCACTCGAGCATATTTGCACATTTTATTGGTCTTCCACACCATTATAATGTTATAATCGTTGTATAGCCCTTCCTTTTATTTTATGTGATCAATGGTTGTATATTGTCTCGTCTCTGCGTATTTTGATTGAGATGTTAAACTTTTGATTAAACTATTATTGGACTTGCATGCTGGTGATTGAATTTCGCTCTTCTCTTTTCCCTGAAATTCCTCTTCTATGTCAGTATCCATCAATACGTGATTGAATTTCCTCTACTGATCGTTTATTTATGGTAATTATTGTATGTTGTTTGATTGAGTTTTAGACTAGTATTACGATGCAAGAGTGCTATTTCTTGCATTATGATAACAAGAGAAGAAAAAGAACTGCTGATATGATGCTGATGCATATGGAATATCGTATTAACCGAAACGTGACAATTAGCACATTATATTGTGGTCTCTTCATATAGACGAGTATGAATGTTGACTTAGAGACGGAACTTTGTAACACATAAAAGTTGAGATCTACCTACAATTACGTGGAACATTAACATAGTTCAATTAGTTAATATACGAGTATTAATGTAAGACCTAAAACTAATACATATATTGAAAATGTTAGTTCAATTAGTTAATATGGTATGTTTTTTCTAAAACACCTTAAATATTTTCCTTAATTATCTTCCTATCTCTTCTACTTAGTTATTGTTCGAGAAATGTCAATAGAGTTAATTTGGAAAAAAAAATTGATATAAAATAGATTTTACATATACGACTAACATCAACTTTCCAGTTAGGTCTTACATCAAGTACCGGGGAGAGAATATGTTTTAACTAACTTCATTAATTTAGGTGAGGTTATTATTAGGTGCGTATAATAAGGACTAAGTTGAGTAATAATTATGCAAGGCATACCTTGTAAAAGGTTGCGAGACAATGAGATCCGCTCAAGGGAGGACATGTTAGAAATAGTTGGAGGTATAATTCCTGAAAGCTTGTTCACAGGAAGTCGTAAAATTTTAAGATGTTGAAGCCTTCCAATATCAAAGGAAATAGATCCTTGGAGGGAATTAGAATTCAAATCCAAGGTCTCCAACTTTGACAAATTGGATATACTTGCAGGAATGATGCCTCCAAAACTATTATTGCCAAGAATCAAGTGTTGAAGCCTATATAAGCTTCCAATCCGAGTTGGGATTTCTCCACTGAATGCATTATAACTCAAGTTCAGAATTTCTAACCTGTGCAGCTGAAGCAACTCTTTTGGCATCTTACCACACAAGTTGTTGCTGTTGAGGTCAAGTTTCACTAAAAACGACAAATTGCCAATCTGTGAGGCTAATTTTCCGTTGAGACCCATCTTTGCAAGACTCAGTATTCTCACTCTTTCATTCTCAGCATCACATGTAACCCCAGACCAATTGCACATGGATGACGAATTGGACCAGTTTTCCAAGTGATTGTAAGGATCCTTAACAGAAGATTTGAAAGCCAGAAGCGCATATTCATCGGAATAAGTAAAATTGGACTGACATAAATCTGGGCAAATCATGAAGAAGATGAAGCAGAAATGAAAGATAAGGTTTCCCATGTCTGTAGAAGGCATATGGCGGCTTGTCATTAGATTAAAGAGCCAGGAGGAGATTAATGCTTCGAATAAATACTATGCTGAGAGTGATGGTTAGTAATTAAGTTGAACCAGGGAAATGCTTTATAACAAAGAAAAAATATAAGCGAAATATTCAAAGCTTGATTTAGGCAATCAATAGAAATATGAAGGCAAGTTTTTTTTTTTTTAAAAAAAAAGGATGGCAGTTGTGAGTCGCATCCATGGTGGAAATTTCTGTGTCCGCTTAGCATTATTAGTCAGTCAAAAAGAAAGATTGATCATAAATTAAATGGGATGGTGAGGTCCTGCAATAAGACTTTGAAAATGGATTTCACCGATTATTTGCAAAAAATGGATTTCGCTCCTAAATTAAACTATTCAAATGTATTCAAAATGCATTCGGCCGTTTTCTTTGACTCTATCAATGGGGAGATTTTCAAAAATCTCTTACCATTCATTGATGGGCCCCAAGAGATGGAATTTTTTTTCAAGAATTCGAACATGTTTGGAGCCCATTTGGTTATGACAACTAATACTTGCGAAATTCTGTGAATGCAGGTAGATGTGTTTCCATCTTGAAGGTCAAAAACGATGTTTTTACATCTTTTCATATTTCATTCATGTGGTCCCTAGAAAATGAAATATTAAGTTAACTAGAGCCCACCTATGTCCTTCCCATCTCCCTACTTGAGCCCATAAAATTCAAAGTCAAGAAAAATTAAATGGCCAAAAGAAAAACTTACAAAAACAGTTGGGGTTAATTAACTAATGTATATTAATTTTAAATGATATATAAATATAAAATAAATTTATTCCAGAGTTAGCCTAGATATATGAATATATGCTACGGAGGAAATTTCAAACGGCATTAGAGACTATTGGAGAAAGGCACATTATACCTTAGCCCGTGCACAAACGCCTGCATGTATACATACGAATGGAGGAGCGAGGGGGCTTTAGGTTGTCTGTGAGATCCAGAATTTACTCAACAGACAATGGGAGATTGAAGCTTGCCACAAGTATAAGTTACTCAACAGACAGGGTGGCCAAAAAGAAGATGAAGCAGAAATGAAAGATAAGGTTTCCCATGTCTGTAGAAGGCATATGGCTTGTCATTAGATTAAAGAGCCAGGAGGAGATTAATGCTTCGAATAAATACTATGCTGGGAGTGATGGTTAGTAATTAAGTTGAACCAGGGAAATGCTTTATAACAAAGAGAAAAATATAAGCGAAATATTCAAAGCTTGATTTAGGCAATCAATAGAAATATGAAGGCAAGTTTTTTTTTTTTTTTTTTTTAAAAAAAAGGATGGCAGTTGTGAGTCGCATCCATGGTGGAAATTTCTGTGTCCGCTTAACATTATTAGTCAGTCAAAAAGAAAGATTGATCATAAATTAAATGGGATGATGAGGTCCTGCAATAAGACTTTGAAAATGGATTTCACCGATTATTTGCAAAAAATGGATTTCGCTCCTAAATTAAACTATTCAAATGTATTCAAAATGCATTCGGCCGTTTTCTTTGACTCTATCAATGGGGAGATTTTCAAAAATCTCTTACCATTCATTGATGGGCCCCAAGAGATGGAATTTTTTTTCAAGAATTCGAACATGTTTGGAGCCCATTTGGTTATGACAACTAATACTTGCGAAATTCTGTGAATGCAGGTAGATGTGTTTCCATCTTGAAGGTCAAAAACGATGTTTTTACATCTTTTCATATTTCATTCATGTGGTCCCTAGAAAATGAAATATTAAGTTAACTAGAGCCCACCTATGTCCTTCCCATCTCCCTACTTGAGCCCATAAAATTCAAAGTCAAGAAAAATTAAATGGCCAAAAGAAAAACTTACAAAAACAGTTGGGGTTAATTAACTAATGTATATTAATTTTAAATGATATATAAATATAAAATAAATTTATTCCAGAGTTAGCCTAGATATATGAATATATGCTACGGAGGAAATTTCAAACGGCATTAGAGACTATTGGAGAAAGGCACATTATACCTTAGCCCGTGCACAAACGCCTGCATGTATACATACGAATGGAGGAGCGAGGGGGCTTTAGGTTGTCTGTGAGATCCAGAATTTACTCAACAGACAATGGGAGATTGAAGCTTGCCACAAGTATAAGTTACTCAACAGACAGGGTGGCCAAAAAGAAGATGAAGCAGAAATGAAAGATAAGGTTTCCCATGTCTGTAGAAGGCATATGGCTTGTCATTAGATTAAAGAGCCAGGAGGAGATTAATGCTTCGAATAAATACTATGCTGGGAGTGATGGTTAGTAATTAAGTTGAACCAGGGAAATGCTTTATAACAAAGAGAAAAATATAAGCGAAATATTCAAAGCTTGATTTAGGCAATCAATAGAAATATGAAGGCAAGTTTTTTTTTTTTTTTTTTTAAAAAAAAGGATGGCAGTTGTGAGTCGCATCCATGGTGGAAATTTCTGTGTCCGCTTAACATTATTAGTCAGTCAAAAAGAAAGATTGATCATAAATTAAATGGGATGATGAGGTCCTGCAATAAGACTTTGAAAATGGATTTCACCGATTATTTGCAAAAAATGGATTTCGCTCCTAAATTAAACTATTCAAATGTATTCAAAATGCATTCGGCCGTTTTCTTTGACTCTATCAATGGGGAGATTTTCAAAAATCTCTTACCATTCATTGATGGGCCCCAAGAGATGGAATTTTTTTTCAAGAATTCGAACATGTTTGGAGCCCATTTGGTTATGACAACTAATACTTGCGAAATTCTGTGAATGCAGGTAGATGTGTTTCCATCTTGAAGGTCAAAAACGATGTTTTTACATCTTTTCATATTTCATTCATGTGGTCCCTAGAAAATGAAATATTAAGTTAACTAGAGCCCACCTATGTCCTTCCCATCTCCCTACTTGAGCCCATAAAATTCAAAGTCAAGAAAAATTAAATGGCCAAAAGAAAAACTTACAAAAACAGTTGGGGTTAATTAACTAATGTATATTAATTTTAAATGATATATAAATATAAAATAAATTTATTCCAGAGTTAGCCTAGATATATGAATATATGCTACGGAGGAAATTTCAAACGGCATTAGAGACTATTGGAGAAAGGCACATTATACCTTAGCCCGTGCACAAACGCCTGCATGTATACATACGAATGGAGGAGCGAGGGGGCTTTAGGTTGTCTGTGAGATCCAGAATTTACTCAACAGACAATGGGAGATTGAAGCTTGCCACAAGTATAAGTTACTCAACAGACAGGGTGGCCAAAAAGAAGATGAAGCAGAAATGAAAGATAAGGTTTCCCATGTCTGTAGAAGGCATATGGCTTGTCATTAGATTAAAGAGCCAGGAGGAGATTAATGCTTCGAATAAATACTATGCTGGGAGTGATGGTTAGTAATTAAGTTGAACCAGGGAAATGCTTTATAACAAAGAGAAAAATATAAGCGAAATATTCAAAGCTTGATTTAGGCAATCAATAGAAATATGAAGGCAAGTTTTTTTTTTTTTTTTTTAAAAAAAAGGATGGCAGTTGTGAGTCGCATCCATGGTGGAAATTTCTGTGTCCGCTTAACATTATTAGTCAGTCAAAAAGAAAGATTGATCATAAATTAAATGGGATGATGAGGTCCTGCAATAAGACTTTGAAAATGGATTTCACCGATTATTTGCAAAAAATGGATTTCGCTCCTAAATTAAACTATTCAAATGTATTCAAAATGCATTCGGCCGTTTTCTTTGACTCTATCAATGGGGAGATTTTCAAAAATCTCTTACCATTCATTGATGGGCCCCAAGAGATGGAATTTTTTTTCAAGAATTCGAACATGTTTGGAGCCCATTTGGTTATGACAACTAATACTTGCGAAATTCTGTGAATGCAGGTAGATGTGTTTCCATCTTGAAGGTCAAAAACGATGTTTTTACATCTTTTCATATTTCATTCATGTGGTCCCTAGAAAATGAAATATTAAGTTAACTAGAGCCCACCTATGTCCTTCCCATCTCCCTACTTGAGCCCATAAAATTCAAAGTCAAGAAAAATTAAATGGCCAAAAGAAAAACTTACAAAAACAGTTGGGGTTAATTAACTAATGTATATTAATTTTAAATGATATATAAATATAAAATAAATTTATTCCAGAGTTAGCCTAGATATATGAATATATGCTACGGAGGAAATTTCAAACGGCATTAGAGACTATTGGAGAAAGGCACATTATACCTTAGCCCGTGCACAAACGCCTGCATGTATACATACGAATGGAGGAGCGAGGGGGCTTTAGGTTGTCTGTGAGATCCAGAATTTACTCAACAGACAATGGGAGATTGAAGCTTGCCACAAGTATAAGTTACTCAACAGACAGGGTGGCCAAAAAGAAGATGAAGCAGAAATGAAAGATAAGGTTTCCCATGTCTGTAGAAGGCATATGGCTTGTCATTAGATTAAAGAGCCAGGAGGAGATTAATGCTTCGAATAAATACTATGCTGGGAGTGATGGTTAGTAATTAAGTTGAACCAGGGAAATGCTTTATAACAAAGAGAAAAATATAAGCGAAATATTCAAAGCTTGATTTAGGCAATCAATAGAAATATGAAGGCAAGTTTTTTTTTTTTTTTTTTAAAAAAAAGGATGGCAGTTGTGAGTCGCATCCATGGTGGAAATTTCTGTGTCCGCTTAACATTATTAGTCAGTCAAAAAGAAAGATTGATCATAAATTAAATGGGATGATGAGGTCCTGCAATAAGACTTTGAAAATGGATTTCACCGATTATTTGCAAAAAATGGATTTCGCTCCTAAATTTAAACTATTCAAATGTATTCAAAATGCATTCGGCCGTTTTCTTTGACTCTATCAATGAGGAGATTTTCAAAAATCTCTTACCATTCATTGATGGGCCCCAAGAGATGGAATTTTTTTTCAAGAATTCGAACATGTTTGGAGCCCATTTGGTTATGACAACTAATACTTGCGA